TAGTTATACTATTTGTCTGCAAAGAAAAAAATAATCTAAAACATGAGGGCAATACAAACTCATGTCATCTTTTTTTAAGGCTTCAGGTAGCCAGAAGCAGTGACTGGGGAAATTTTTATGCCCTTTACTAATTTAATGGGAATGCTTAATTCTGAACGGTCGCTGGAATTTCATCCCAATGTCATTAACACCAGCAAAGAAACAGGGAACGCAGTGGGGTGTCCTGCGTTTGGTTAGGATAGAGTTAATTGTTCACAGGAAACTGGGAGGGGAGCAGCCAGGGCAGCTGACCCAAATGTGCCCAAGTGGGTATTCCATACCTGTGATGTCATGGGCCAAAGCAGGTATTCCATACCATGTGATGTCGTGCTCAGTATTTAAACAGGGGAAGTTCTGGGAAGTGGTGAGCCATTTGGTTCCAGGTATTAGTATTGTTGTTGTTATTGTTTTCGTGTTGCTTCCCTCTTCCCTTACCATCCTAGTAAACTACTCTTGTCTCAACCCTCCAGCTCCCTTTGTTTATATTTTCTCTTCCCAGTCCCACCGGAGGGTTGGGGAGGTGAATGAGTGAGCATCTGTAATTAAACCACCATATGGGGTCAGAGGAAAATTCTGAAGGATTTGGGATTAGGACTTGCTACATGGAAGGAAGAGTTAGAGTAGATTCGGACAATAAAACTGGGGGGGAGTTATGGAGGGCAGAGAGAGAAGCAGAGGTTAAGATTGAAATTGCTCAGGAGCTGACCAGAGATGTCAGGGTGCAAAATAGCATGTGGCTGTTCCCCCTCTGGATATGTCATTTGCTTGAAGACCAACTAGAGCTAGCATGTTTCTCTCCTCCCAACCAATGGGAGGCACTAATGGTGCAGGACTGGTTATGACATGAAAAAACTGAATTGGTAAGCTGTCAAAAGACTGCTGCTTCTATTATCATTGTTATTATTATATTGTTTTTATTGCTATTAAAATCTGGTGGATACTTACAGCTTTTTCAGTGGAAGATCCTTTGAGAGCTAGAGCAAGACATTTTCATTTCTGTCCCTCAGACTCTATTTGCATTTTGAGTTCCTGAGTGACAGACATCCTACCTCTTGCTGATGTTACCCAGTACAATTAGAATTCTGTAGGTGAAGTAAATGGGCTACAGTGCTAAAAAATAAACTCACGTATAGATGACAGTCCTAGAACTTAGATCGAAGGGATCACTGTGATCAGTTTGTTGCATGGAATAGATTGACTGTGCGATGAACTTCATTTGGTGCTATTGTGAATGTTTATGTAAAAGTTATTAGAACTGACTTTTCCATTAAGGACAAAATTTTAAGTTACCAAGTACAAAATGTGCTAGCTTCCTTCCCACCATACCTTAGTTTTTCCAAAGCTTTTGTGTTTTGAACTTCTGAGTTTGGTGTTTGGTTTTGTTTTTATTTTTTCCCAAGGATGTATATGTGATCTAGATTAGCATTTTCATTTTGCTGTAAAAGGCTACTCCTATTTCTGTTTTTGTTATCTGCTTTCATATAGAAGGAAAATGAAAGGACAGAGGGATTCAAATAGTAAAACAAACTTGATCTCCAAATTCATTCTTTATTTTCACTAAAGAAACATTGAAATTAGTTAGTGTTTCATGATAGCTGCTGGATTCTGCATGCTTTTAGAAGCTTGCCTCAAAACACTCGATGTTTCCATTGGCAAAAGATCAGTTATCCTAAGTAACAGGCTTAGATGCTTTTCTTTAAATAGCTATGAAAAAAATACTCTTTTCCAGGGCTTATCTTAATAAAGGTTGATACTCTAACAGTCAAAATGTCGATAAAGTGTTTTTTAATTTACATGTCCTAAATACATTTAAACTCATATATTTAATAAATAAATAGAGATAGATAGGATTTTTTTAAGCACAGGAATTATAAGACTATAGGAAGATGAAAATGTGTTTTGTGTTTTGATCCATTAACATTTTCTTAGTAAGTATAAATTGTTTTGCCTATTCCACAGCGTTTAATAGATGTAAGGTCAATTAAGATAATGTTTTCACAAGACAAAATACGTGATTGCTTAGTAGAAGATACAGATCAAGCTTTAACTAAATATTGTATGATTATTTGCTGTAATAAATGCTTGAGACTTTCAGTGGAAAGTTGCTGTCTAGTGAGAGTACATCTAGTTATCTTTCAGTATTTAAATGATGTTTTGCAGCCTTGACAAGCTTATGTTCATAGCAGCAAAAAGCACTTGTGAAGAAACTATGTGATTAAATTAAGATAAAGTTTATTTAAAAATGAGGCTCATGGTGTGATTTAACTTCTGCATATCAAATTTTTTTCAGATTCAGGCCATCAAGATGATGGTTCGATGGTTGCTAGGAATGAAGAACAACCACAGCAAGTCAGGAACTTCTACTCTGAGGTTACTAACAACAATATTACACAGTGATGGAGATTTAACAGAGCAGGGGAAAATTAGGTATGTAACAGATGGTAACGTTTTGATGTCTGTGATGATGCAATGGGGAGAGTTTTAGTCAAACTAATACTTAAACTGTTCTGTTAGACTGCTTAACAGTTTGTGCATCTTATACTATAAGAGCTAATAGTAAGCTTGGCTGGATTCCTTCATAAGTTTACTGAGTCTCAGGTTTTTTAACACTGTAGATATAGCTGGATTTTAATGGTTTTCTCTTCTTTGTTTTATATCTTTCTTCAAAGAACCATTATTCATATTGCAAGAATAAACTGTTTAACTTCATCCTTCCCCTTGAAAATAGTTTTAAAGGTTTTTATGCAGCTTGTTCTTCCTGATGCACCACTTGTTGTGTGTGCCAAAGGCTGATAGACAGGCCTTCTAATAAAAAATAATAGCACAATGCAGTAAACCAGGTGGGAATGGCCAGTACATAAGGCATTTCTGCTTGAAGGCAGACTTTAATCCCTCGAGGCCTCTAAAGTGAAAGGAAGAGGGAAATGTGTAAAAAGGATTAAATCTCAATAAATAATTTACCTTTTAGGTGATTGTTTAGACAACTTACTTGTTTTTCTGGATAGCTTCTTAATCCTCTGTGGTAGGGGAGTGACAAGTTGTCAGCTACTATTGCTTGCCAAACACTGAAAATTTATGTCTAGAGAAGCCGTTAAAGGCATGGGTGGATTGTGCCAGTGAGAGTAAAAAGATTTTAATTTTGGGGTAGAGTTTAATGTTATATAGTGATTATACAGACAAAACCTCTGTTTTGTGTGCAAAATTGCAAACCTGAGAATTGGCTAGTATGTTATCTTTGTAGCAACTGTGTAGTCTTTCTTAAAGTTCCTTGTAAATAATTGTTTCATAGTTTTAAATTCTGTAATGTGATCCTTCATGGCAGATACTAGGGAGTTTAAGTGGCAGTAATTTAGCTTTTCAGGACAACTGCTTGCAGCATGTTGTTGGCTTATCCAGTAGTTTATGAGTAGATCAGTTCTGTAGGTCCTGTGTATTTTCATGCTTGGAGTGATGATTCCTTACTGTGCATGTTTTAGAAGTTTAATTTTCCCAGTCTTTTGTACTCAAAATATAAATAATATAAACTGTATATAATAATGTGATCAGTTGTCCATTATTGAAGTTAATAGAGGGAGAAAGCTGCAATGACATGAGAATTTGCCTTTGTGTTAAAGGCAACCCTTCAACCCCAGAGCTTGGAGCTCTGCCTGGAGATGGATGATGAGCCAGCTGAGAGTTTATGGGTTAGGATTAAAGAGCAGACTGGTATGTGTGACATTGTAGTGGGTGTCTGCTGTAGGCCCCCTGACCAGGAAGAAGTAGTAGATGAGGCCTTCTATAAACAACTAGAAACAACTTCATGTTTGCAGGCCTTGGCCCTCTTAGGGGACTTCAGCCGCTCCGATACCTCCTGGAGGACCAACACAGCTGTGCTTTCTGGAGAGTATCAGTGACAACTTCCTGATGCAAGTGATAGAAGAGTCAGTGAGGAGGGGTGCTCTGCTGCACCTCATACTTACCAACAAGCAGACACTTGTTGAGGTGTGAAGGTTGAAGGCAGCTTTGGCAGTAATCGCCATAAAATGGTGCAGTTCAGAATCCTGAGGAGAGCAGGGAGGGCAAAAATTAAGATCACAATGCTGGACTTCTGCTCTGGTGAGACCCCACCTGGAGTACTGTGTCCAGCTCTGGAGTCCTCCATATAGGAAAGACATGAACCTGTTGGAGCAGGCCCAGAAGAGGGCCACAAAAATGACCAGAGGGGATGGAACAACTCTCCTATGAGGGAAGGCTGAAAGAGTTGGGGTTGTTCAGCGTGGAGAAGAGAAGGCTCTGGGGGGACCTTATTGTAGCCTCTTAATACTTAAAGAGAGCCTGCAAGAAAGATGGGGACAGATTTTTAGTAGGACCTGCAGTGACAGGATAAGCAGTAATGGTTTTAAACTAAAAGATGGTAGATTCAGACTAGAAACACTGGAACGAGGTGGTAGATGCCCCGTCCCTGGAAACATTCAAGGTCAGAATGGACGGGGCTCTGAGCAACCTGATCTAGTTGAAAATGTCCCTCCTTATTGCAGGGAGGTTGGTCTAGGTGACCTTTAAAGGTCCATTCCAACCCAAACCATTCTGTGGTTCTATGAAGTACACAGAAAGTGGAAGTAGGAACAGGTAACCTGGCAGGAATACAGAAACAGTCTGAGACACAGTTAAGAAAGCCAAAGCCCAACTGGAATTGAATCTAGTGAGGGATGACAAAGGTGACCAGAAGACTTCCTTTAAGTAAACACATGACAACAGGAAGACCAGGGAAAACATGCACCTGCTGCTGAACGAGGCAGGAGCCCTGGTAACACAGGACATGGAAAAGGCTGAGGTACTGAATGAGTTCTTCACCTCAGTCTTTACTAGCAAGACCAGACTTCAGGAATTCCAGGCCCTGGAGACCAGGGGAATATGGAACAAGGAAGACATATCCTTGTGGGAAGAAGATCACATTAGAGAATACTTATGCAAACTGGATATGCATAAGTCTATGGTCCTTGATGGGATGCACCCATGAGTGTTGAGGGAGCTAGCAGATGTCATTGTGAGGCCACTCTTGATTGTCTTTGAATGATCTTGGTGATTGATGGAGGTGCCTGAAGACTGGAGGAAAGCAATTGTCCCTCCTGTCTTCAAAAAGGACAGGAATGAGGACCGAGAGAACTAACTACAGGCCAGTTGGCCTCACCTCGATCCCTGAGAAGGTGATGAAACACCTGAGCTCCTCAGTACAAGACAGATGTGGAGCTACTGGAATGAGCCCACCATAGGGCCACGAACGTGCTTAAGGGATTGGAGTATCTGATGGATGAGGAAAGGCTGAGAGAACTGGGACTGTTCAGCCTAGGAAAGAAAAGGCTCAGTGAGGATCTCATCAATGTGTATAAATAACTGAACAGAGGTTTTAAAGAAGATGGAGTCAGGCTTTTCTTGGTAGTGAGCAGTGACAGGACCAAGGGCAATGAGCAGAAACTGAAATATAGGAGGTTCTGTCTGAGCACCAGGAAACACTTTTTCACTGCCAGGGTGATTGAGCACTGGCATGCGTTGTCCACAAAGGTGGTGGAATCTCCATCCTTGAAGATAATTAAAAGCCATCTGGACACTGTCCTGGGCAGCATGCACTAGGTGACCCTGCTTGAGCAGAGGGGTTGGGCTAGGTGGTCTCCAGCGGTCCCTTCCAACTGCAACTACTTTGTGGTTCCAAGTATTTCATTCTGGGGAAACTCTAAGCTGCAAGGCAGGCAGGTCTCATTTTCTGTTTGTGTGGGCTATGCTGACTATGTTAACAAGTACTCTGAAAACCTGAAGCGGAGGAGATGATATTTCAGGCACATAAATTCTACATGGAACTTGCTGGTATCTCTCTGACACTGCTTGACCTTTATTCTTCACCCTTTGAGAACGCATAAAATAAGAGTATTTCGGTATCAGAGGACACTAGCTGTTGCTGAAAGTACTGATATTAGATATGAACCGTATGAACCTGAATTGAGATTTTTCTGAAATGCTATCTGCATTTTTCTTAAACTGAAGTTTACCAAGAGAAAAATGACTTAAAAACTTTGGAGATTAGAACTTCATAGTTTTGTGCTATAGATAATTTGCTACACCATCTGATATGCAACATATTCAGAGGCTGTATTCAAAAGACACTTTATTCCATGGAACATAGAAAATTGGACACTGGCATTTATCCTCTGGAGTAGAACTAAAAATGTTAACTGCTCATGTGTTAAGTAAGAGAAGATGATTATGCAGCAGGTGTTTTCAAGATGCATTTATTTGGATTGTCTTTGTGCAGCCCACCACCTTAATTAAGACTGTGTTTTGCACTTGAATAATATCTTTCCATGTGGTTGCACTTTTGTTCTCATTTCGAACATCTGGTCTTCAGCAATAGTAATAGCACTCCAGAAAACCAATGTCCAGGTCCCTCTTGTGTCTCTTGGAGAGTTTCTGACAGGACAAGGGCATCCTTGGTATGAATTTTCAAAATTATTAGAAGTAATCAAAAACTGCAGTTATATCATACAGAAGCTTTTATTTCAGCCCTAATATTTGTGTGTTTTGGGATAATGCAGATCAGAAAGCTTTTTGTCTCTAACAATTTGATCAAAAGTAAATCCTCAATTAAGAGTTTCTTCTAAGATAATCCTTCTGGAGAATAAGACAGATCTAATTTTCATCTTCAGCTGTAAGAATGATATTCACAACTGACACTGTCCGTCCTTCTCACAGCATGCACACATGCTTGTGGGTATTTCCATGATACATACACTCTGTAAAGATTTGGTCAACTTTTATGTCAAATATCTTTTGATTCAATTTTCAGAATTAAATGTTATCACTACCAAAGCTGGCAGAAGATTGAAAGTTCTTAATTTTATCCTTTCCTTTGGCTCGATCACTCTGTACATTTAAGTCGTTATTGCTCAATTGTCACTGAAGTGCAAAAAATGAATATTGGGTTCACTTATCACAATAGATGCAATTTGAAGTGAAATTTATTGTTTAAGAACTAGACATTACCATGTTAATCTTTATGCCTTGTTTGAAAGTTAGTGCAGCTTTTGTCCTGTCGCTTGGTTGCTCGTGATCTGTTTGGTTTTTTTAAAATGTCGTGGTTTCCATAAAATCCTGAGATGTGTATAAAGTCCGATTCAATAAATTTTAAGGTTTAAGCTCTTTAGTAGGTATTTTTATCATGCACTCTGTGTTTAATAATGTTTTTTTAAAGAATGAGATAATGCTTTATGCAGTTTTCATAATGGATTTAAGACTACAATGTTTACTCTTCCTAAGGGTAAAGGAC